CGGTCAATACGTTCTGTCTGAGTTGAAAGTCATTATTATAATTGAAAAAATCACACAGTCTCTCATCCAATGTTTGAGGATTACAGCAGAAATAAGTAGAAATTTAGAAATTATTATTAAAATTGTAATTTGAACTGTAACGATGGACGGGCTCGTCCGGGAATTGAACCAGGACCACTCGCACCCGTAAGCGAGTATCATACCCCTAGACCAACGAGCCATTACTACCCTATTCTATAATATAAAAGCAATAATCGGTCAATACGTTCTGTCTGAGTTGAAAGTCTTTATTATAATTGAAAAAATCACACAGTCTCTCATCCAATGTTTGAGGATTACAGCAGAAATAAGTAGAAATTTAGAAATTATTATTAAAATTGTAATTTGAACTGTAACGATGGACGGGCTCGTCCGGGAATTGAACCCGGACCACTCGCACCCTAAGCGAGTATCATACCCCTAGACCAACGAGCCATTACTACCCTATTCTATAATATAAAAGCAATAATCGGTCAATACGTTCTGTCTGAGTTGAAAGTCTTTATTATAATTGAAAAAAACACACAGTCTCTCATCCAATGTTTGAGGATTACAGCAGAAATAAGTAGAAATTTAGAAATTATTATTAAAATTGTAATTTGAACTGTAACGATGGACGGGCTCGTCCGGGAATTGAACCCGGACCACTCGCACCCTAAGCGAGTATCATACCCCAGACCAACGAGCCATTACTACCCTATTCTATAATATAAAAGCAATAATCGGTCAATACGTTCTGTCTGAGTTGAAAGTCTTTATTATAATTGAAAAAATCACACAGTCTCTCATCCAATGTTTGAGGATTACAGCAGAAATAAGTTGAAATTTAGAAATTATTATTAAAATTGTAATTTGAACTGTAACGATGGACGGGCTCGTCCGGGAATTGAACCAGGACCACTCACACCCTAAGCGAGTATCATACCCCTAGACCAACGAGCCATTACTACCCTATTCTATAATATAAAAGCAATAATCGGTCAATACGTTCTGTCTGAGTTGAAAGTCATTATTATAATTGAAAAAATCACACAGTCTCTCATCCAATGTTTGAGGATTACAGCAGAAATAAGTAGAAATTTAGAAATTATTATTAAAATTGTAATTTGAACTGTAACGATGGACGGGCTCGTCCGGGAATTGAACCCGGGACCACTCGCACCCTAAGCGAGTATCATACCCCTAGACCAACGAGCCATTATTACTACATATTCTATAATATAAAAGCAATATTCTATAATATAAAAGCAATAATCGTTCAATACGTTCTGTCTGAGTTGAAAGTCATTATTATAATTGAAAGAATCACACAGTCTCTCATCCAATGTTTGAAGATTACAGCAGAAATAAGCAGAAATTTAGAAATTATAATTATAATTTGAACTGTAATGATGGACGGGCTCGTCCGGGAATTGAACCCGGGACCACTCGCACCCTAAGCGAGTATCATACCCCAAGACCAACGAGCCATTACTACCCTATTCTATAATATAAAAGCAATAATCGGTCAATACGTTCTGTCTGAGTTGAAAGTCATTATTATAATTGAAAGAATCACACAGTCTCTCATCCAATGTTTGAGGATTACAGCAGAAATAAGTAGAAATTTAGAAATTATTATTAAAATTGTAATTTGAACTGTAACGAGGGACGGGCTCGTCCGGGAATTGAACCTGGGACCACTTGCACCCTAAGCCAGTATCATACCCCTAGACCAACGAGCCATTACTACCCTATTCTATAATATAAAAGCAATAATCGGTCAATACGTTCTGTCTGAGTTGAAAGTCTTTAATATAATTGAAAAAATCAGACAGTCTCTCATCCAATGTTTGAGGATTACAGCAGAAATAAGTAGAAATTTAGAAATTATTATTAAAATTGTAATTTGAACTGTAACGATGGACGGGCTCGTCCGGGAATTGAACCCGGGACCACTCCCACCCTAAGCGAGTAACATACCCCCTAGACCAACGATCCATTACTACCCTATTCTATAATATAAAAGCAATAATCGGTCAATACGTTCTGTCTGAGTTGAAAGTCTTTATTATAATTGAAAAAATCACACAGTCTCTCATCCAATGTTTGAGGATTACAGCAGAAATAAGTAGAAATTTAGAAATTATTATTAAAATTGTAATTTGAACTGTAACGATGGACGGGCTCGTCCGGGAATTGAACCCAGGACCACTCGCACCCTAAGCGAGTATCATACCCCTAGACCAACGAGCCATTACTACCCTATTCTATAATATAAAAAGCAATAATCGGTCAATACGTTCTGTCTGAGTTGAAAGTCATTATTATAATTGAAAAAATCACACAGTCTCTCATCCAATGTTTGAGGATTACAGCAGAAATAAGTAGAAATTTAGAAATTATTATTAAAATTGTAATTTGAACTGTAACGATGGACGGGCTCGTCCGGGAATTGAACCCGGGACCACTCGCACCCTAAGCGAGTATCATACCCCCTAGACCAACGAGCCATTACTACCCTATTCTATAATATAAAAGCAATAATCGGTCAATACGTTCTGTCTGAGTTGAAAGTCTTTATTATAATTGAAAAAATCACACAGTCTCTCATCCAATGTTTGAGGATTACAGCAGAAATAAGTAGAAATTTAGAAATTATTATTAAAATTGTAATTTGAACTGTAACGATGGACGGGCTCGTCCGGGAATTGAACCCGGGACCACTCGCACCCTAAGCGAGTATCATACCCCTAGACCAACGAGCCATTACTACCCTATTCTATAATATAAAAGCAATAATCGGTCAATACGTTCTGTCTGAGTTGAAAGTCATTATTATAATTGAAAAAATCACACAGTCTCTCATCCAATGTTTGAGGATTACAGCAGAAATAAGTAGAAATTTAGAAATTATTATTAAAATTGTAATTTGAACTGTAACGATGGACGGGCTCGTCCGGGAATTGAACCCGGGACCACTCGCACCCTAAGCGAGTATCATACCCCTAGACCAACGAGCCATTACTACCCTGTTCTATAATATAAAAGCAATAATCGGTCAATACGTTCTGTCTGAGTTGAAATTCATTATTATAATTGAATGAATCACACAGTCTCTCATCCAATGTTTGAGGATTACAGCAGAAATAAGTTGAAATTTAGAAATTATTATTAAAATTGTAATTTGAACTGTAACGATGGACGGGCTCCTCCGGGAATTGAACCCAATACCTTCTATACTCGCACCCTAAGCGAGTATCATACCCCTAGACCAACGAGCCATTACTACCCTGTTCTATAATATAAAAGCAATAATCGGTCAATACGTTCTGTCTGAGTTGAAAGTCTTTATTATAATTGAAAAAATCACACAGTCTCTCATCCAATGTTTGAGGATTACAGCAGAAATAAGTAGAAATTTAGAAATTATTATTAAAATTGTAATTTGAACTGTAACGATGGACGGGCTCGTCCGGGAATTGAACCCGGACCACTCGCACCCTAAGCGAGTATCATACCCCTAGACCAACGAGCCATTACAACTCTATTCTATAATATAAAAGCAATAATCGGTCAATACGTTCTGTCTGAGTTGAAAGTCTTTTATTATAATTGAAAAATCACACAGTCTCTCATCCAATGTTTGAGGATTACAGCAGAAATAAGTAGAAATTTAGAAATTATTATTAAAATTATAATTTGAACTGTAACGATGGACGGGCTCGTCCGGGAATTGAACCCGGGACCACTCGCACCCTAAGCGAGTATCATACCCCCTAGACCAACGAGCCATTACTACCCTATTCTATAATATAAAAGCAATAATCGGTCAATACGTTCTGTCTGAGTTGAAAGTCATTATTATAATTGAAAAAATCACACAGTCTCTCATCCAATGTTTGAGGATTACAGCAGAAATAAGTAGAAATTTAGAAATTATTATTAAAATTGTAATTTGAACTGTAACGATGGACGGGCTCGTCCGGGAATTGAACCGGGACCACTCGCACCCTAAGCGAGTATCATACCCCTAGACCAACGAGCCATTACTACCCTATTCTATAATATAAAAGCAATAATCGGTCAATACGTTCTGTCTGAGTTGAAAGTCATTATTATAATTGAAAGAATCACACAGTCTCTCATCCAATGTTTGAGGATTACAGCAGAAATAAGTTGAAATTTAGAAATTATTATTAAAATTGTAATTTGAACTGTAACGATGGACGGGCTCGTCCGGGAATTGAACCTGGGACCACTCGCACCCTAAGCGAGTATCATACCCCCTAGACCAACGAGCCATTACTACCCTTTCTATAATATAAAAGCAATAATCGGTCAATACGTTCTGTCTGAGTTGAAAGTGCTTATTATAATTGAAAAAATCACACAGTCTCTCATCCAATGTTTGAGGATTACAGCAGAAATAAGTAGAAATTTAGAAATTATTATTAAAATTGTAATTTGAACTGTAACGATGGACGGGCTCGTCCGGGAATTGAACCCGGGACCACTCGCACCCTAAGCGAGTATCATACCCCTAGACCAACGAGCCATTACTACCCTGTTCTATAATATAAAAGCAATAATCGGTCAATACGTTCTGTCTGAGTTGAAAGTCATTATTATAATTGAAAGAATCACACAGTCTCTCATCCAATGTTTGAGGATTACAGCAGAAATAAGTAGAAATTTAGAAATTATTATTAAAATTGTAATTTGAACTGTAACGATGGACGGGCTCGTCCGGGAATTGAACCCGGGACCACTCGCACCCTAAGCGAGTATCATACCCCCTAGACCAACGAGCCATTACTACCCTATTCTATAATATAAAAGCAATAATCGTTCAATACGTTCTGTCTGAGTTGAAAGTCATTATTATAATTGAAAGAATCACACAGTCTCTCATCCAATGTTTGAGGATTACAGCAGAAATAAGCAGAAATTTAGAAATTATAATTATAATTTGAACTGTAATGATGGACGGGCTCGTCTGCGAATTGAACCGGGATCCACTGGCACCCGAAACGAGTATCATACCCCTAGACCGACGAGCCATTACTACCCTGTTCAATAATATAAAAGCAATAATCCGTCAATACGTTCTGTCTGAGTTGAAAGTCTTTATTATAATTGAAAGAATCACACAGTCTCTCATCCAATGTTTGAGGATTACAGCAGAAATAAGTTGAAATTTAGAAATTATTATTAAAATTATAATTTGAACTGTAACTCATGGACGGGCTCGTCCGGGAATTGAACCAGGACCACTCGCACCCTAAGCGAGTATCATACCCCTAGACCAACGAGCCATTACTACCCTATTCTATAATATAAAAGCAATAATCGGTCAATACGTTCTGTCTGAGTTGAAAGTCTTTATTATAATTGAAAAAATCACACAGTCTCTCATCCAATGTTTGAGGATTACAGCAGAAATAAGTAGAAATTTAGAAATTATTATTAAAATTGTAATTTGAACTGTAACGATGGACGGGCTCGTCCGGGAATTGAACCAGGACCACTCGCACCCTAAGCGAGTATCATACCCCTAGACCAACGAGCCATTACTACCCTGTTCTATAATATAAAAGCAATAATCGGTCAATACGTTCTGTCTGAGTTGAAAGTCATTATTATAATTGAAAGAATCACACAGTCTCTCATCCAATGTTAGAGGATTACAGCAGAAATAAGTTGAAATTTAGAAATTATTATTAAAATTTGTAATTTGAACTGTAACGATGGACGGGCTCGTCCCGGGAATTGAACCAGGGACCACTCGCACCCTAAGCGAGTATCATACCCCTAGACCAACGAGCCATTACCATTCTATAATATAAAAAGCAATAATCGGTCAATACGTTCTGTCTGAGTTAAAGTCTTATTATAATTGAAAATCACACAGTCTCTCATCCAATGTTTGAGGATTACAGCAGAAATAAGTAGAAATTTAGAAATTATTATTAAAATTGTAATTTGAACTGTAACGATGGACAGGCTCGTCCGGGAATTGAACCCTGACCACTCGCACCCTAAGCGAGTATCATACCCCTGACCAACGAGCCATTACTACCCTGTTTCTAAATATAAAAGCAATAATCGGTCAATACGTTCTGTCTGAGTCAAAGTCGTTATTATAAGTTGAGAAAAATTTGAGAATCTCTCATCCAATGTTTGAGGATTACAGCAGAAATAATTAGAAAAATAGAAATTATTATTAAAATTGTAATTTGAACTGTAACGATGGACAGGCTCGTCCGGGAATTGAACCAGGACCACTCGCACCCTAAGCGAGTATCATACCCCTAGACCAACGAGCCATTACTACCCTATTCTATAATATAAAAAGCAATAATCGGTCAATACGTTCTGTCTGAGTTGAAAGTCATTATTATAATTGAAAAAATCACACAGTCTCTCATCCAATGTTTGAGGATGACAGCAGAAATAAGTTGAAATTTAGAAATTATTATTAAAATTGTAATTTGAACTGTAACGATGGACGGGCTCATCCGGGAATTGAACCCGAGACCACTGGCACCCTAAGCGAGTATCATACCCCAAGACCAACAAGCCATTACTACCCTTTTCTATAATATAAAAGCAATAATCGGTCAATACGTTCTGTCTGAGTTGAAAATCATTATTATAATTGAAAAAATCACATAGTCTCTCATCCAATGTTTGAGGATTACAGCAGAAATAAGTAGAAATTTAGAAATTATTATTAAAATTGTAATTTGAACTGTAACGATGGACGGGCTCGTCCGGGAATTGAACCCGGGACCACTCGCACCCTAAGCGAGTATCATACCCTAGACCAACGACCACCCTATTCTATAATATAAAAGCAATAATCGGTCAATACGTTCTGTCTGAGTTGAAAGTCTTTATTATAATTGAAAAAATCACACAGTCTCTCATCCAATGTTTGAGGATTACAGCAGAAATAAGTTCTTTAGAAATTATTATTAAAATTGTAATTTTAACTGTAACGATGGATGGCTCGTCCGGGAATTGAACCTGGGACCACTCGCACCCTAAGCGAGTATCATACCCTAGACCAACGAGCCATTACTACCCTATTCTATAATATAAAAGCAATAATCGGTCAATACGTTCTGTCTGAGTTGAAAGTCATTATTATAATTGAAAGAATCACACAGTCTCTCATCCAATGTTTGAGGATTACAGCAGAAATAAGTAGAAATTTAGAAATTATTATTAAAATTAATTTTGAACTGTAACGATGGATGGCTCGTCCGGGAATTGAACCCTGGGACCACTCGCACCTCTAAGCGAGTATCATACCCCTAGACCAACGAGCCATTACTACCCTATTCTATAATAATAAAAAGCAATAATCGGTCAATACGTTCTGTCTGAGTTGAAAGTCTTTATTATTATTGAAAAAATCACACAGTCTCTCATCCAATGTTTGAGGATTACAGCAGAAATAAGTAGAAATTTAGAAATTATTATTAAAATTGTAATTTGAACTGTAACGATGGACGGGCTCGTCCGGGAATTGAACCCGGACCACTCTCACCCCAAGCGAGTATCATACCCCTAGACCAACGAGCCATTACTACCCTATTCTATAATATAAAAAGCAATAATCGGTCAATACGTTCTGTCTGAGTTGAAAGTCATTATTATAATTGAAAAATCACACAGTCTCTCATCCAATGTTTGAGGATTACAGCAGAAATAAGTAGAAATTTAGAAATTATTATTAAAATTGTAATTTGAACTGTAACGATGGACGGGCTCGTCCGGGAATTGAACCCGGGACCACTCGCACCTAAGCGAGTATCATACCCCCTAGACCAACGAGCCATTACTACCCTATTCTATAATATAAAAGCAATAATCGGTCAATACGTTCTGTCTGAGTTGAAAGTCATTATTATAATTGAAAAATCACACAGTCTCTCATCCAATGTTTGAGGATTACAGCAGAAATAAGTAAATTTAGAAATTATTATTAAAATTATAATTTGAACTGTAAATGGATTATTAAAATTGTAATTACGTTCTGTCTGACCAACGAGCTCATCCAATGTTTGAGGATTACGATGGATTTGAAATTATTATTAAAATAATTAATTTGAACTGAACCTAACGATGGACATACTCCCTAGTTCCTGGAATTGAACCCGGGACCACTCCCTAAGAGTATCATACCCCTAGACCAACGAGCCATTACTACCCAATTCTCTAATATAAAGCAATAATCGGTCAATACGTTCTGTCTGAGTTGAAAGTCTTTATTATAATTGAAAAAATCACACAGTCTCTCATCCAATGTTTGAGGATTACAGCAGAAATAAGTAGAAATTTAGAAATTATTATTAAAATTGTAATTTGAACTGTAACGATGGACGGGCTCGTCCGGGAATTGAACCCTGGACCACTCGCACCCCTAAGCGAGTATCATACCCTAGACCAACGAGCCATTACTACCTGTTCTATAATATAAAAAGCAATAATCGGTCAATACGTTCTGTCTGAGTTGAAAGTCTTTATTATAATTGAAAAATCACAGTCTCTCATCCAATGTTTGAGGATTACAGCAGAAATAAGTAGAAATTTAGAAATTATTATTAAAAATTGTAATTTGAACTGTAACGATGGACAGGCTCGTCCGGGAATTGAACCCGGGACCACTCGCACCCTAAGCGAGTATCATACCCCCCAGACCAACGAGCCATTACTACCCTATTCTATAATATAAAAGCAATAATCGGTCAATACGTTCTGTCTGAGTTGAAAGTCTTATTATAATTGAAAAATCACAGTCTCTCATCCAATGTTTGAGGATTACAGCAGAAATAAGTAGAAATTTAGAAATTATTATTAAAATTGTAATTTGAACTGTAACGATGGACGGGCTTGTCCGGGAATTGAACCAGGACCACTGCACCCTAAGCGAGTATCATACCCCTAGACCAACGAGCCATTACTACCCTGTCTATAATATAAAAGCAATAATCGGTCAATACGTTCTGTCTGAGTTGAAAGTCTTTATTATAATTGAAAAAATCACACAGTCTCTCATCCAATGTTTGAGGATTACAGCAGAAATAAGTAGAAATTTAGAAATTATTATTAAAATTGTAATTTGAATCTGTAACGATGGACGGGCTCGTCCGGGAATTGAACCCGGGACCACTCGCACCCTAAGCGAGTATCATACCCCCTAGACCAACGAGCCATTACTACCCTATTCTATAATATAAAAGCAATAATCGGTCAATACGTTCTGTCTGAGTTGAAAGTCTTTATTATAATTGAAAAAATCACACAGTCTCTCATCCATATCACCTTCAGATCGTTAGGTGACGGAGCATGATTCAACCCCTCACTGCAAACACATGGTACCTAAGATGACCACACCTACAACCCTTCTCTGTGTAGCACCCTCATTTTGTTTCTGTATGTCTCCCATCTATCTGCAATAGATATTCCCTTTAAATTGATCCATTAAGATGGCGTTTACAGAATTATTTTTCTCAGTCTGTAAAAAAAATCTCGGAGATCAGAAAAAAAAATTAAAAAAAAGAAAAATATATTTTTGTTTCAAAAGTTCAATTGCAGTTCAGGGGCGAGTTTATTCTCAACACATCGTTAGTGCAACAAACAGGATTCAACTCCTCTCTACAAACAAACACGTTTATCAAAGATGACGCCCACCACCAATTACTCTGTGATTTTATTTTTAAATCGACATTACTTTGTCAATTGGCATCATCTAACGCCTTGACATTGTTCCTTCTGTTTATCCTATTCCCAAACACTCCACTTTACTTTCGCTCTCTGTAACATCTAGCTTGCTTGAGGCGATTTGCTTAAAAAAAAAAGGTCACATGCATCTCAGGGACAAATTACTCCTCAATAAATCCTTGGGTCACGGAATATGATTTGATACCTTGATTTGATACGCTCTTTAACTAAGATGATCTCCCTCCAATATATCGCATTCCTTTTTGCCCTTCTGCGTCTCTCACTGTTTCTCTTTAATTGTCTATGTCCATCTTTCTCTCTTTTGCTTCGAGCAAGCGTGATGTACACCGTAGATACAAGGTTATTTATATATGATTCAACCTATCACTGTAAACACATGGTACCTAAGATGACCTACAACTCTGTGTTGCATTACCATTTTGTCTCTCTATGTCTACCATCTGTCTGCAATAGATATTCAGTTTAAATTGATCCCTTAACATGGCGTTTACAGAGTTATTTTCCGCAGTCTGTAAAATAAAATCTCGGAGATCAGAAAATATAATATATATATATATATATATATATATATATATATATATATATATATATATATATATATATATATATATATATATATATATATATATATATATATATATATATATATATATATATATATATATATATATATATATATATATATATATATATATATATATATATATATATATATTTTCAAAAGTTCAATTGCAGTTCAAGGGCGAATTTATTCTCACCACGTCGTTAGTGCAACAGACAGGATTCAACTCCTCTCTACAAAAAAACACGTTTATCAAATTATTATATATTTTATATATCGATTTTCTTCGTTGTTCTTCTTCATATAGAATTCATCTCCATTGTCTTTTTGTTACTTTCTTCTTCTTCTTCTTCTTCTTCTTCTTCTTCTTCTTCTTCTTCCTCTTCTACTTCTTCTTCTTCTTCTTCATCTTCTTTTACTTCTTCTTCAATTTTATTCTTTACATCGTTAAATTCTTCTATATCTATCGGTATCCCCCCCCCCAGGTACAGAGAAGTAATGGATAGCACGAACTGAGGAATTGGAGAGCCGAGTTCGAATTCCAGTCGAATCTATTACATTCACTCACGTGCTTATACCCTTGTAAAAGGTATGAATCCTCTTCTTTTCCCACCAGCTACAGGAAAATAGCAGGTCAGACCGGGTACTATAGCCTTGGATGGCAACTGATCTACCGCAGAAAGAAATGGCAACCTACTGCGGGAAAAATCATGCTATATGCTCAGCAATGTATTCGAGGATAAAGCAACATCTACCCCGACCCCAGGATTTTGAATCCGGCTGCCAGGAAGAGCCAACTAACCAATAGTTCTGGCTCTGCTATTGCCGAGCATGTAATAAATAGTAGGAAATGGGTGGTTAATTTTAGTGTGGACCATTTTTTGATTTTATCTAGGTCCCGCTCCACATTTCACCTGAAGGTTCTAGAGTCCTTGTATATCAGATCCCGTGGGCCTTCCCTTTGTAAACAGAGGGAATGCTTATTGGATCTGAATGTTATTGGACTCTGGTTTCTTGAAATTCAATTTTTTTTCATTTTTTCCTCCTTTTCCATTCCATTCGATTCGTTAATTTAATTTACACGCTTTTATAAATTTTCTATTCCCAGAAAAAATAAACTTGATAAATCCTGGGATGAAACCATTTTTTTTTTTTTTAGCTTTTTCTTTTAAAAATCCCTTATAAAATTTGTCTTTTCATAGCTATTATTAAATCCTGTACCACGAAAAATGTAAATATTAATATATATATATATATATATATATATATATATATATATATATATATATATATCCAAAGAGGATGTTTCGTTCACCAACCATAACCTGTCCAAGAATAACCGAAATTTTCCCCGCCTATGCATATAAACTGCCTCAACGTAACCTTCTACGTCGAGTGGCCGTATACACGGTGAATCTTAGGATAAAAATATAACGTAGATCAGATGAGTCAGTCAGTGGAGCAGTAGAGGAAGTTGTATGTGTTCATGTAATAATGTTGACTATAATAGTAAATAGAGCATCTAGAGCGGCAGTGTAACATCAAATTTTTCTGTAAGGCTTGCTAAATGTTAAAATAAAAGTTTATCCCTAATAAATTTTTTTTCATGAAGATACTTTTCGCCAGCGTACAAACATCCGTCCGATGTGGAGAGAACATTTCACCTTATTTCAGTCCGTGAGATGTAATTCGCATTGTTCAAAGAAAGTCAAGGCGTCTATTTAATTATACATATCCACAAAATAAGGTTTGGAGTAGTAGGAAATAATATGAAAAAAAAAAAAAAAACAACTATATATATATATATATATATATATAGAAAAAGTTTCAAATTAAAAATTAAAATGTTTTATTTTATGAAAGTATTTATTTATTTATATATAAATAAATACTTTCATAAAATAAAAAAATAAAAATAAAACATTTTAATTTTTAATTTGAAACTTTTTTCTATATATACATATAAGAGAGTATACGTGGCTTCTCATTATATATATATATATATATATATATATATATATATATATATATATATATATATATATAATCACATCTACAAAATATATAATATATAATACGAGGATAAGTAAAAAAATTATTCTCACCTTCGTCATAATGTATTTTGACAGCGTCAGTTTTCTTGAGGCTGTTACAGTGTAAACATGACCTCTCCGTCAGCTGTGTGCCCCACGGAGGAATATTAGACCAGTGGTCCGATTTCTTAGATCGGAAGGTATGTCAGGGGCTGATATGCTTCGATGGCTTTTAACATAATACGGCGAAAATGAACTACTGCGTAAGTGTGTGCATGAGTGAATCGAGAAGTTGAAAATTAGAAGCACGCCATCCTCCACTACTGAGGGTTGGATTCAGCAAGCTCGCGAAAAGGTAATGCGGAACCGGCGAGTTATCCCCGATGTTTAGCATGTTCTCCGAAGACCACTGCTCTTTTTTACTCCTTGCTACACACTGCTAGCGAAGCGGTCATGATTACACTGCAAGAAGACCAAATCACGTGACCAAAATGGTGCCAACTTATAAGCACGCATGAGCGGGAAGGCAGGGAGACATATCTAAGTTATGGCGAAAGAGCGGATAATTTTTGACTTACACTAGTATTATTTTAAGATAATGTTCTTTTGCATCCAATTAAGTTAAAAATTGGACACTTCGCCAAATTGCTTTGAAAGACATCAACTTAATCCCAGCCAAAAAGCCATTTATGAAACCGATATTTGAAACGTGTAAATCATTTTGAGGAGATTCATGATGGAATCTATTTTGACGAATAAATTCTAACTAAGTAACACTTCCATATATATATATATATATATATATATATATATATATATATATATATATATATATATATATATATATATATATATATCATGTTAATGGTCAGGGTTGAATCAGACCAGGAGAGAATAGTATTAAAAAGTGTCCAATACACGTGAAAAACCAAAAAAAAACAAAGTAAAATAACATGGAGAGCGTTTAACGTTCAAATCCAGTGGTCAGTTGAATCCACTACCTTGGTTTCAGGTAATTCTTATAAAATGACCTCCTTAAAAATTTTAATTAAATTTAATTTTATTAAAAAAAACAAAAAACAACTAAAGAACGCTACATTATTATTGTCAAAATTAAATAAAGGAACAATCGCATGACGCTGGGTGTTATAGAAAACGGGGAGGAGGAGAAGAAGAAGAAGAAGAAGAAGAAGAAGAAGAAGAAGAAGAAGAAGTTTATTGTAAAAGTATTGGTGGTGAATTAACTACTTTAATTACTTTTTTTTATCCAGCCTCATATGCACTTAAGAAAAAATTCTGATATGTAAGATAGGACTTAAGACTTCGGATTTCTGGTTTAAAATGTTCTTTTGATCCGGAAATGTCATAATCGCTAATTTTTCCTGTTGGCAGAGATTATGTTTGAAAATAGTGAGGTACCCGTTTTTAATTATTTAACAAAAAAAGTAAAAAAAAAAAACAAAAAAAAACTAAAAACGATAGGTAGTCATTTGTTAAAAATCGCCTGAAGATACTGTAAGGTTAAAACCAATGTAAGCAGGTTCAACTAACCTCCTGATAAAAAAACAAGTAATTTTTGAAGAACTTTCTGAAATGGGGTTCAGCGTTGTATTTAACATGAAGGGGAGCATTTTGAACGTGTTAAATAGTTTGTTGATCATAAAAATCCCGGTCCCACATTTTCACTCTCGAAGGGGTTAAATGTAATCGCTTCTTTTCTCGCACTTCCCCTCTGTGGAATTCTCTTCCTCTTACTTGCTTCCCCGATAACTACAATCTTCAAATATTCAAGTGTAATGTCAATCGACATCTGATACCTTGATCTTCTTCCCAGTCCTTCTCTTTATCCTCTCCCCAAACACGCACCTATACTCTTGTTCTCTACCCTCTGTAACCCTTGCGTGCTAGTGGCACTCCCGCCTTACTTGGGGTAAAATGCTTTAAAAAAATTTAAAAAATCGGTGACTAAATATGTCAGAATGTGTGAATTTTGTGAATTTCAAGTTCATTGCTGATATTTCTTTAACAATGGTGAGCAAAATCACAGCTTCCTGTAAACATTGCTACCACATATGATCTGATGTTCCTTTTATATATTAGGAGATCTGTAATGAAATCCAAAGAAGATTCTGCAATATGATTTGTCCTGATCTGGCATCTCGGCTTCAGTCATATTCCCACAGCCGTAATGTAGTTTCCCGGCGATTTTTCTATAAATAATTTCATGGTAGTTATTCTGATGAGCTTTCCGCTGTGGTACCTTGACTTTAAGCGCAGAGCATCTCATCCTTTACTGTAGGAATAGCTAGATAGAACCGTAAGTTCTATGATAAGAGTTTCTTCTATTGCACTTCTCGCTTTTGGAAATCTCTTGCTTTCCGACTAAGTTTGATCTTCAAAAATTTAAATGCAATGTCAACGTGTATTTTCTATCTTATTTTCTTTCCTTAGTATTATTTTTTTCGCATATTGTTTAACACGCCCTACGTCTTAGTGGCTTTATTGCCTTTTTTGGAGTGAAATGATTTTAAGAAAACTCCAGGTTAGAGAATTGATGTCATTATTGTGGCAAATTTCACCAACTAAACCGTTTAGATTTATTTTAATTCCGCAGAAATTTGTCGGGACTTATACCAGGGAAACATGTTTTGGTTTAAATTCTAACAACGGATTAAAAAAAAAAGTAATCCGTTTGCGCCTTAAAATGCATTTCTTGCGTTCATATCGAGTTGATCTGAATAACGTAAGCGATAAGAACGGAAGAATATTCCACCGAGGCATATCTGAGACTAAATCAAAGTATCAAGGCCGATTCAACCGAATCATGATGGCTGCCTACGGCTGGTTGTTAAAATGACAGAACAGCTCAGCGCTCAAACGCAATAAAAACATGTCTCAACCTTTTTTTAAAGAACATTGGACAGTTATAAATTTGAAAGAATCAGCGCCTATGCATCGCAATGAGGATCTCCTTAGTCGCCCTAACATAGAAACATATGCGAACTGTTAATCCAGAAAATATATAAATAAAAAATATAAATAAAAATATAAATAATGTCTTCAAAAGCAGCAGAACCTATAAAACAAAAGAGAAAAATTTGGTAAACATGTTGAAAAGACACACACATTAAGACAGGAAGGATAGGTTTAAGTCTCCAAGTAGCACAGAGAATTGTCCTACAGGATAATAACCTATTGGATTTATGAGTTGGTTCATGAATCTGGTGACAGTAATTGTAAGTTCAATCCCTACCTGGACTCAGGGGAAATGGACGAACAATATCTCTGCAGAACTAAAAACTAGAAGAAATGCCGCAGTGTAACAAGAACATTCTACCCAAGGGGATTAAATAAAGTGTTCAGTTAGGTATCTCTTTTAGGTTACCTGGATCATTATATAGATGATAAAGGTTAAATGGCACAGCGGCCAGAGCGTTGTGATAAAGTGACTG